ACATTCCAAAGACCCTAATCCACGGTTTCCTTTGCATGGAAAATAGACTGGCAGATGGCTTTGTTTTCGGAGCTTTGCCCAACAATGCTCTTTGCCCCCTGGCAGACCCCTGGCCATTTCCCTATATGGAGATCAGTGGGCCTTAGGAAAGCCCTCACCTCCGCACTGCTTAAATTTTACTGTATATTCATCAAAGAACAATCACTTCAGCCTTATCTTCATTGTTTTCCTGTTTGCTGGCCTGGAAAAATCTGGTCTTTCCTCACACATGCCACTCAAGGGACAATAGACTAACCCTGTTTTGAGACTTTTCCTTTGTCTCGCAGGCCACATGGCATTTCCTATTTTTCAAAACTAACTCATAGACTCTATTGTGTTCCCTCATCCTGCCTCCCTCTCTCCTGATTTGCTGTTGCCACCAGGTGACAGAGGTCTCCCCATTGGATCCTACGGACCACTGGAGCTTCCTGATTGGTCCAGAGGCGCCGCCTCCCAGCTGTTCGCCCATTGCCCAATCACGGCGGGGAACAACAGGGAAGCCGGGGCGGGGAGTTTGAACTCTGCAACTTTGAATTTGCTATAAATATGACTGTATTGGTGTACTCCCCTCATGCTTAGCTTTGGCGAATGATTGCAGCTTTGCATCCGTTCCAGCTGAATCACATTAAACCTCGATGGCTTTTCTTCAACTGGTGAGACTTTTCATTGGGAAATCAGGGAAAAATATGGGATGCTTCTCTGTTTCGCCAGGGAAAAAGAACTCTTTGATGAGTCTAATTGGTCTCTGCCTCCTGGCAAAGACCTCTAAATTTTAGCTCTATAACAAAAGTATGTGGGGCTGTTGAATGAAGTCAGTGCTGAATTAATACTGTCCAACATTTATAAGGATCTGTATCTGCCATTTCATTTTTACTGCTAAAAATAGCAGCAGGGCCTTACCTGGGGCATCACAACAACCCTCCACTGATTATGACTGACGATGATCAACATTTGGAAGCAGCAGAGATACTGGACTCTTGTGCTTGTTGAGGGACATTGCAATACTTGGTGAGATGGAAACACTTCCCTAACTCCTGCCATGTTTCTTTGAGGCACATTGCATTGTATTTGTGTATCTGTTCATTTATTTGCTTATGTGTTTTATAACAACAACAATAACAACAAACTTTTGTAGCAACAGGCAGAGTTCCAATACATTATTGAATCTGCAAAGAGGACTGTTATTAATGTTTAAATGTTTTTTAATACAAATACCTGATATATCCAAATTTGAATACTGGTGGGGTTGGGGTGGTGGGGTTATTTTGTCATTTGGGAGCTATAGTTGATGGGATTTATAGTTTCCAGTCAATTATGGAATTGAACCAAGATTGGCACACAGAACTCCCACGACCAATAGAAAATACTTAAAGGGTTTGGTGGGCATTGACCTTAAGTTTTGGAGTTGTAGTTCACCAACATCTAGAGAGCGCTGTGAACTCAAAAAAGTATGGAACTGGCCCAAACTTGGCACGGACACTCAATATGCTCAAATGTAAACACTGGTGGAGTTTGGGGAAAATAGACCTTGGGAGTTGTAGTTGCTGGGATTTATAGTTCACCTACAATCAAAGAGCATTCCCACCAACAATAGAATTGGGCCAAACTTCCCACACAGAACCCCCATGCCTTGAAGGGACTCGCTGCCATGAGCAGGGCCGGCTGAAGCAATAGGCAAGTTACGCATTTGCGTATAGTGCGAATCCTCGAAGGGTGCTCTTGAGGCGCCCTCGGCTGTTGAGGCAATGAGTCTGACAGAGGAAATCCTGGAACCAGTTGGAGGCCCGGTGTGACTGCATCAACTCGAGTCCTGATACACACGAAGAGGTTGCTTTTTGTGGGAGTTTGTTGTCTGGTCAGGGCAGTTTGAACCCAGCTTCGAACCTGTGTACGAGGCTGGCGGAGCTTTCTATGGCTCTCCTTGGCAAGCCTGAATGCTCCTGAACTGACCCCAGCATTGCTCCCCCCACTCCTTCAGTAGTGGAGCCAAAACTATGACTTAAAGCTCACGATTCAAAGACATCTGTGGCAAAGCTACAATGCCCAAATGCAGCAGGTGGCTAGACGGGATGGACGCCCTCCTCCCTCCTTTACTTTCCTTCCCAGGGGCGGCTCGTCCATTACACGAAGTAAGCGGTCACAGAACACTTTTTTTTTTGCCAGGGGCGCAGAGGTGCCTCTGTAAATGCCCCTCGACTGCCACTTGAGGAGCGCCCCCTCAGCTCACAACAGCCCTAGCAGTCGGGGGAGCCTTGGCTTTCTTGCCTCGCTGCCAGGCGATCCTCTTCCCAAAGGGGCCGGGCCCTTGAGCCTCGCCTAGCCCCTCTCGTTCCTGCTCCACCCGGCCACCGGGTGCGCGAGCAGAGCCAGCGCTCAATCGTTCTCCGCGTTCGATCCCTTCCCCATGACCGGCTCTCTTTCCTGATCGCCCGGCGCTCCACCCGCCTCCTCTCCTCTCCCCAATCTGCGGGTGGGCCAAGGGGCGGGGCCACCGCGCCTGGCCTGCTTTGGGTCCGGAGGCGTGTCTGAAGACCCCAGCGTGCGCACCAAAAGTCGCCTCTTCTCCTGACTTTCTCTTCAGCCATTGGGACCAAGAGAGAGAGAGAGAGAGAGAGAGAGAGAGCCCCTCCGGCTGGAGGTATCTCCCACCTCCGCTCCCTCCTTTGTTTTTGCGCCTACCTTCAGGAAAGGTGGGCATCTCCACCTCTCTCTCTCTCTCTCTTGGTCCCAATGGCTGAGGAGAAAGTCAGGAGAAGAGGTGACTTTTGGTGCACACGCCGGGGTCTTCAGGCACGCCTCCGGACCCAAAGTGGGCCAGGCAAGGGAGCAAGTGCGGCAAGTGTAGTTACTGGGATGTATAGTTCACCTACAATCAAAGAGCATTCTGAACTCCACCAATGATGGAATTGAACCAAATATGGCACACAGAACTCCCACACGAACAGAAAATATATATCAATGATTGGTTGGGGGGGGGGCACCAAAATACTGTTTGCTTACCGTTAAAAATTACCTAGGACCGCCTCTGTTCCTTCCCTTCCACGCCTGCCCAACACCCTCCTCCCTTTCCATTCAAATCTCTGCAACCCAAGCTCACCCACCGTGAACGTGATTTTCCTGCTTCTTGGCAGAATGGGGTTGGACTGGATGATGGCCCATCAGGTCTCTTCCAACTCTAGGATTCTACGATTCTTCGAGAGGGGCCTTATACATGGATGGATGGATAAGAGAATGGTACCAAATTGCTGTATGATTTTAAATGCTGTATAAAAGTTACATGCATGGTGTTTAAACCCAGATATTTGGAATATTCTTTCAAGCCTGGAGTCTAAAGTTGGAGATTATTCATTTTCCCCTCTTCTCTGAATAAGAACAAGCTGCTTTTGGTTCCATAATTTGCAAAAGATCGTTGGGTCTGGATCTTAGCACAACATCCCTTCTTCCAGGAAGCCAACAAAGAAACAATCGAAAGGACTCTTATTCCAGGAAGGATGTTTATTGACAAGGCCTCCTTCACCCACTCCCACAACCCTTGTCGGAGCCCTGCAAGCGCTAGGGTGGCGGTCAGGGGCACACCTCCGCCACTTTCATGGCATAGACTTCCACTTCGCACAAGGTCAGGTATTCCTTCTCATTGGGGATGTTGATGCTCACAATGCGCCCTACGAGTTGGTTGCATTGGATGGTGCTGATGGAGCCTGCGCTGCTGTCCTGGATGGTCCCACAGCTACAGAGAGTGGAAAAATGGGAAATTATTGGGTGCTTATGCTAAAATGTGAAAGGTCTCAGGCTGTGAGGGCATTTGAAAAAGTTTGACCTTTCATTAGCATAACATGAGTAGAGTCAAAACACAACAGTGGGTCATACAATTAGTATGGCAAAATGGGAAGAAATTTGGACAAAGAAACTAAAATATGCATACGTTGAAGAGATTAAAGAAAATTGGCTTAAGATGTTTTACATGTGGTACATTATACTGGTTGGTGTGTTTATTTATACTGTTTTTGTATTTATTTATTTATTATTATATTTTACTGTTTGTATTTTATGTTGTATATTTGCTTTGCTGTACTGTTGTGCTTGGCTCCATGTAAGCCACCCCAAGTCCCCTTGGGGAGATGGTGGCGGGGTATAAATAATAATAATAATAATAATTATTATTATTATTATTATTATTATTTTCAAGAATGAAATACTCAAGGCGTAATTGCAAACAGTGCCAACAAAGAGAAAAAATTAGGTCAAGTGCAAAGAAGCCAGAATGGATGTCCAAAGAACTTCTAACTGTGCTAAGACTCAAAAGAGACATGCACAAGAAGTGGAAAAAGGGAGAAATCACCAAAGAAGAATTCAAACAAATAGCCAACTCCTGTAGGGAAAAGGTTCACAAGGCTAAAGCACAAAACTCAGGCTTGCCAGGGACATTAAAAACAATAAAAAAGGGCTTCTTTGTCAGTAGAAAAAGGAAGAACAAGGAGGCTATAGGGCCTCTTCGAGGAGAAGATGGGGCAATGCTGACAGGGGATAGGGAAAAGGCAGAACTACTTAATGCCTTCTTTGCCTCGGTCTTCTCACAAAAAGAAAGTCATCTTCAACCTCAGCAAGATGGAGTGGATGAGGGATTAGAGGACATCCAACCCCAAATTGGGAAACAAGTCATCCAGGAATACCTGGTCGCTCTAAATGAGTTCAAGCCCCAGGCCCAGATCAACTTCACCCAAAGTGTTGCTAAAGTTCTGGTGGTGAAAATTTCAGAACTCTAACACAACTTTCAAAATTTCATTATTATTTCATTATTGGTGATTTTTATGACAGAACCTATTAGGATCTGCCATTTATAATGAAATTTTGAAAGTTGTGTTGGAGTTCTGAAATTTTCACCACCAGAACTTTAGCAACACTGTAGAAGCAAAGCATCAGCGCCCCCTACTTTTCACCACCAGAACTTTAATTTTGTAAGTACTTTTGAAACATTTAGAACCATGGATTGCACATGCCTAATATACACATATACACAAATATATACCCACATGTATATATACACACTGTTGGGGTTCAGCCTGAGCTTGAACCTGATTCTCTGTTTGTACCTCCTGATGCTAATGAAAATATATTTACTGATGCTAATGAAAATGTACTTCTTGATGTCAATGATCCTGAAATTAGTGACAATGCTCCTGAAATTAGTGAGGAAGAAACTTCTGTAGATTTGGAAAATGAAAGTACCAGTGTTCATGAGAATGTTTCAGAGGGAAGCCATGACCTTTCACTCCCTTCTGCACCTGGGAACCTTAATGAGAATAGAAGGGGCCAGATCTGGCAAGACAGGAGTCAATCACTCAGCTTGCGAAGGTCTTCGAGATTAAAGGAAAAACAAACAAGGGCTTCAAAGCAGGGAGGCGTATCACAAAACCAATTCCTCGGCTTTAAGTGCCTTCCGCCGGGCTGACTTTCTCAGTTCAGGCATCATTTTAGATTGATGAGTACCTTGGCAGTTCTCCCGGTTTCCCTGGCCATCGTCTTGAAAGATTTCTAGGACACCAAGTACGGTTAGTGGATTGCTAACAGGTTCCAGTATTTTACAGTGTGGCTTTGGGGTTTTGATCTTGTTCATGGACATTCATGTTTGCTGATTTTGCTGTGGCTTTTGACTTTGCATTTTTCCTTTATTTTGTAACCATTTTTCATCAATAAAAAAGGATTGTTTTTCACAGTCAAGTGTGGTGGATGGTTATCTTAGGGCCTCGTTTTCTGCTCTGGGTTGCAACACACACCCAAAACACATATACACAGACTGGGCCACAGCAACGCATGGCAGGGGACGGCTAGTAATAAAGGAATAAATAAATTAAAATGGGGACTTACAGGGGGTTGAATTTGCTGTTTGCAGCCACGGAGTATCCCACGCGGACTTGTGCTTTATCGAGCCTCTCTGCACAGCAGTCCTGACGATTTTTCACAAGGACGGCGAAGACGGTGTAGTTCTCCCCCAGATCCACGTACCACCAGGGATCCAGGTCCGCGTTCGTGTGGGAGCAGGAGCCATCTCGGGGCAGGTTCCCACTGCAGTCCCCATCCACAGCCTTCTCGGCTATCAGGTTTTTTGGGTGCTGATACGTGGAGGACTGGTAAGCAGAGCATCCTTTGGCAACGTTGCGAACTGGAAGGACACAAGGACGGGAAGACAGGAAGGCAAGGAGAAATCGATGGCTACGTTGCATGTTTTGAAGGCCAGAATACACTGCATTCCCCACTCAGATGCTGAGGCAAGTCATAGAATCATAAAGGAGACCCCAGGAGTCATACAACCTAACCGGCCATGAGACAACTCCGGCCTTCCCTCCAGGTGTTTTGGACCAACTCCCACAATTCCTAACAGCCAGTAGCCCTCCGGTAGGAGGGCTGAAGTTTGCCTATACCTGGTGTAACCACATTCCACAAGCTGTGGGGGCTGGGGGTGGTGGTGGTATGTTCGTGATTTATAGTTCCTCTATCACGTCCTCCCTATGTTGTGCAACTTGACTGATTGTCTCAGGACAATATATTACATCAAACCAAAACATTGCAGAGTCTTTGATCAGGAGTTGGCAGAGATTTTACTGCACAGCCTCTGACCTTGTTGCCGCTTATTGTTTTAAGAAAACACTTTCACTCTGGTTTTCATCCAAACTCACATTGGAGGCTTCAATCTTGAGTTGTTGCTTGTATACAGCTATATACACATCAGGATCCCCTGATCTGCTATCTGCATATCATAGAATCATAGAATCATAGAGTTGGAAGAGACCTCATGGATCATCCAGTCCAACCCCCTGCCAAGAAGCAGGAAAATTGCATTCAAAGCACCCCTGACAGATGGCCATCCAGCCTCTGTTTAAAACCCCTCAGAGAAGGAGACTCCCCCACTCTGCGAGGCAGCATTTTCTGTCAGTAAAAACCCCCCCAAAACGGTGAGGGCTGGGGGTGGTGGTGGTGGTATGTTCATGACTTATAATTCCTCTATCACATCCTCCCTATCTTGTGCAACTGGACTGATTGTCTCAGGACAATATATTACATCAAACCAAAACATTGCAGAGTCTTTGATCAGGAGTTGGCAGAGATTTTACTGCACAGCGTCTGACCTTGTTGCCGCTCATTGTCTTCATAGACCTGTCAGCAGCCTATGAGACTGTGAACCACTGCTGCCTCCTCCTGAGAAAAATGTCTAATATCACAAAGGACGACCACCTCACCCGCCTCATAGGAAACCTGCTACAAAACAGGAGCTTCTTTGTTGAGTTCCAGGGCCAGAGAAGCAGATGGCGGAAACAGAAGAACGGCCTGACAGATGGCCATCTGTTTAAAAAACCCCAGAGAAAGAAACTCCCCTACACTGCGAGGCAGCATTTTCTGTCAGTAAAAAAACCCCAAAACTGTGGGGGCTGGGGGGTGGTGATATGTTCGTGATTTATAGTTCCTCTGTCACATCCTCCCTATGCTGTTCAACTTGACTGATTGTCTCAGGGCAAGATATTACATCAAAGCAAAACATTGCAGAGTCTTTGATCAGGAGTTGGCAGAGATTTTACTGCACAGCCTCTGACCTTGTTGCCGCTCGTTGTTTTAAGAAAACACTTTCACTCTGGTTTTCATCCAAACTCACATTGGAGGCTTTAATCTTGAGTCGTTGCTTATATACAGCTATATACACATCAGGATCCCCTGATCTGCTATCTGCATATCATAGAATCATAGAGTTGGAAGAGACCTCATGGATCATCCAGTCCAACCCCCTGCCAAGAAGCAGGAAAATTGCATTCAAAGCACCCCTGACAGATGGCCATCCAGCCTCTGTTTAAAACCCCCCAGAGAAGGAGACTCCCCCACTCTGCGAGGCAGCATCTTCTGTCGGTAAAAAACCCCCAAAACTGTGGGGGCTGGGGTGGTGGTGGTATGTTCGTGATTTATAGTCCCTCTATCACATCCTCCCTATGCTGTGCAACTGGACTGATTGTCTCAGGGCAAGATATTATATCAAACCAAACATTGCAGAGTCTTTGATCTGGAGTTGGCAGAGATTTTACTTGAGTCTTTGCCTATATCCCTTGATCTGCTATCTGCATATACAGAGATATACTCACAGCAACTATCTGCAACAATACAGCGAGAGGCGATGTAAGAGAATCATAGCAAGAACATCCAGGCATCCTACTTACAGGAGGATTTGGTTGTGTACTTGTGCCATCAAACAACAAGTTGCTGTTCCTGGGTTATGCATGGCTGTTCCTGGATAAAGGGGGTGGGAAAACCCATGGAAATGCTCCCCATTTCCCAGTTCTTACCAACGTCTTGGGCCCCCGGCCGGCAGCTCTCTCCTTCTCCAAGTCCAAACAGCAGAGCCAAGGCCAGGAGTCCAGTCCAGATGGGTAACATCCTGCAAAAGGGAGGAGATTGAGACAGGGTTGAGTCTGGTTCCAAGTGGCATCAAAGGAGAGAGAGGAATACAACTCCTTATGGTTTTGTAATGCAAAACCAGTTTGTTATGCACTAGCTGTACCCGCCACGTGTTGCTGTGGCCAACCTTTCCTCGCTCTTTCTCTCCTTTCCCTCCTTCCTTCGCTCCCTCTTTCCTTTCTTCCCTTTTTTCTTTCTTTCTCTCCATCCTTCCTTCTCTACCTCTTTCCTTTCTTCCCCCCTTTTTCTTTTCCTCCCTCTTTCTCTCCTTTCCCTCCTTCCTTCGCTCCCTCTTTCCTTTCTTCCCTTTTTTCTTTCTTTCTCTCCATCCTTCCTTCTCTACCTCTTTCCTTTCTTCCCCCCTTTTTCTTTTCCTCCCTCTTTCTCTCCTTTCCCTCCTTCCTTCGCTCCCTCTTTCCTTTCTTCCCTTTTTTCTTTCTTTCTCTCCATCCTTCCTTCTCTACCTCTTTCCTTTCTTCCCCCCTTTTTCTTTTCCTCCCTCTTTCTCTCCTTTCCCTCCTTCCTTCGCTCCCTCTTTCCTTTCTTCCTTTTTTCTTTCTTTCTCTCCATCCTTCCTTCTCTACCTCTTTCCTTTCTTCCCCCTTTTTCTTTTCCTCCCTCTTTCTCTTCTTTTCCTCCTTCCTTCGCTCCCTCTCTCCTTCCTTCCCTTTTTTCTTTCCTTCTCTCCTTCCTTCCTTCTCTACCTCTTTCCTTTCTTCCCTCTTTTTCTTTTCCTCCCTCTTTCTCTCCTTTTCTTCCTTCCTTCGCTCCCTTTCCTTCCTTCCTTCCCTTTTCTTCTTTCCTTCTTCCTTCTCTACCTCTTTTCTTTCTTCCCCCTTTTTCTTTTCCTCCTTTTCTCCTTCCTTTGCTCCCTCTTTCCTTTCTTCCTTCCCTTTTCTTTCCTTCTCTCCTTCCTTCTCTGCCTCTTTCCTTTCTTCCCCCTTTTTCTTTCCCTCCCTTTCTCTCCTTTCCCTCCTTCCTTCCTTCCCTCTTTCCTTCCTTCCTCTTTCTTCTTTTCCTTCTCGCCTTCCTTCCTTCTCTCCTCTTTTTTCTCTTTCTTCCTTCTTTTCTTTCTTCTTTCCCTTTCTTTCTTTTCTTTCTTTCTCTTTCTTTCTTTTTTCTTTCTTTCTTTCTTTCTTCCCTTCCTTCCTTCCTTCTCTCCTTCCCTCCTTCCTTCATTCCCTCTTTCCTTCCTCCCTTCCCTTTTTTCTTTCCTTCTCATCTGCCTTCCTTCTCTACATCTTTCCTTTCTTCCCCCTTTTTCTTTTCCTCCCTCTTTCTCTCATTTCTTCATTCTCTACCTATTCTTTCGTTCCTTTGTATTTTGCTTCCATCCTTACTTTTCTCTTTCCTTCTTTCCTTTCCTCCCTCTTTCTCTCCTTTCCCTCCTTCCTTCGCTCCCTCTTTCCTTCCTTTCATTCTTTCCTTCTCTCCTTCCTTCCTTCTTTACCTCTTTACTTTCTTCCCCCTTTTTTTCCTCCTTCTTTCTCTCCTTTCTTCCTTTTCTACTTCTTTCCTTCGTTCCTTTGTATTTTGCTTCCATCCTTCCTTCTCTCTTTCCTTCTTTCCTTCCCTCTCTCTTTCTCTCCTTTCCCTCCTTCCTTTTCCTCCCTCTTTCCCTTTCCCTTTCTTCCTTCTTCTCTCCTTCCTTCCTTCTCTACCTCTTTCCTTCCTTCCTTCCTTCCTTCCTTCGCTTTTTGCTTCCATCCTTCCTTCTCTCTTTCCTTCCCTCCCTCTTTCTCTCCTTCTTTCCCTCCTTCCTTTGCTCCCTCTTTCCTTCCTTCCATTTTTCTTTCCTTCCTTCTCTACCTCTTTCCTTCCTCCCTCCTTTTTTCTTTTCCTTCCCCTTTCCTCCTTCCTTCTTCTCTCTCTTTCCTTCCTTTCCCCTCTTTTTCTTTTCTTTCCTTTTTCTCTCCTTTCTTCCTTCTCTACCTATTTCCTTCCTTCCTTTGTATTTTGCTTCCATCTTTCTTCTTTCTTTCCTTCCCTCAATTTTTCTCTCCTTTCCCTCCTTCCTTCGCTCCCTCTTTCCTTCCTTCCCTTTTCTTCTTTCCTTCTCCCCTTCCTTCCTTCTATACTTTCCTTTCTTTCCCCTGTTTCTTTTCCTTCCTTTTTCTCCCCTTCCTTCCTTCTCTATCTCTTTACTTTATCCCCCAATTTCTTTTCCTCCCTCTTTCTCTCCTTTCTTCCTTCTCTACCTCTTTCCTTCCTTCCTTTGTATTTTGCTTCCATCCTTCTTTCTCTCTTTCCTTCCACTGTTTTTTGGTGTGTATGTATATGTATGTGTATATGTGTATATTTGTGTGTATTTGTGCATATATATACACGTGTGTGTTTATGAATGTGTGCATGTGCATATGTATATGAGTGTATGTGTATATGTATATATGGTGTATTTTGGGGGGTATATATGGTGTATTTTGGGGTTTTGTGTGTGTATGTGTGTATTTATGGGTGACAGACACTTGTTGGACTGTTAGGGGCGTAGTGTCCAAATTTGGTGTCAATTTGTCCAGTGGTTTTTGAGTTATGTTAATCCCACTAACGACCATTACATTTTAATGTATATAGATTGCCTGCTCCCAGCTGTAGCATCCATGGGTCTTGTATCTCTGATGCTACAATAGGCCAGGCATGGGCAAACTGGGGTCTTCTCTCCAGGTGTTTTGGACTTCAATTCCCACCATTCCTAACAGTCTCAGGCCCCTTATTTTCCCCCCTCAGCCGCTTAACCATTTGTTATGGGCCAAGAATTCAGGATAACTTTGGTTATGGGCCCAGCACTCAGCTTAATGATGAATGATGGGAGCTGAAGTCCAAAACACCTGGAAGAAGACCCAAGTTTGCAATAGACTCATGTCTAGAACTATTTAACTAATACAGCTCCGTAACTCACATACTATATCCCGTGATATGCATTATCGAAGGCTTTCATGGACGGAATCACTGGGTTGTTGTAGGTTTTTTCGGGCTATATGGCCATGGTCTAGAGGCATTCTCTCCTGACGTTTCGCCTGCATCTATGGCAAGCATCCTCACTACCTCTGAGGATGCTTGCCATAGATGCAGGTGAAACGTCAGGAGAGAATGTCTCTAGGCCAGTGGTTCTCAACCTTCCTAATGCCGTGACCCCTTAATTCAGTCCTTCATGTTGTGGTGACCCCCAACCATAACATTGTTTTCCTTGCTACTTCATAACTGTCATTTTACTACTGTTATAAATCATAATGAAAATATCAGATATGCAGGGTGTATTTTCATTCACTGGACCAAATTGGGCACAAATACCCAATACACCCAAATGTGAATGCTAGTGGGGTTGGAGGAGGATTGATTTTGTAATCTGGGAGTTGTAGTTGCTGGGATTTATAGTTCACCTATAATCAAAGAAAAGTGGAAAGTGGGGAAAGTGCTGGGGAAAGTGGAAGGCAAAAGGAAGAGGGGCCGACCAAGGGCAAGATGGATGGATGGCATCCTTGAAGTGACTGGACTGACCTTGAGGGAGCTGGGGGTGGTACGGCCGACAGGGAGCTCTGGCGTGGGCTGGTCCATGAGGTCACGAAGAGTCGGAGACGACTGAACGAATGAACAACAACATAATCAAAGAGCATTCTGAACTCCACCAGCAATGGATTTGAACCAAACTTGGCTCCCATGACCAATGGAAAACACTGGAAGGGTTTGATGGGCATTGACCTTGAGTTTGGGAGTTGTAGTTCACCTATATCCAGAGAGCACTGTGGACTCATGCAATGGTGGATCTGGACCAAACTTGGCATGAATACTCAATATGCCCAAATGTGAACACTGGTGGAGTCTGGGGAAAATAGATCTTGACATTTGGGAGTTGTAGTTGCTGGGATTTATAGTTCATTACAATCAAAGAACATTCTGAACTCACCAACGATAGAATTGGGTCAAACTTCCCACATGGAATCCCCATGACCATCAGAAAATACTGTGTTTTCTGATGGTCTTTGGTGACCCCTCTGACACCCCTTCGTGACCCCCTCAGGGGTCCCGACCCCCAGGTTGAGAAACATTGTTCTAGACCATGGCCATATAGCCCAAATAAACCTACAATAACCCTATATCCCGTGATGTTTCCCATCTTTTAGGACCCTCTTTCTTCTTGGCACAGACAGCCAACACGCCAATTTGCAGAATTCCAATTGTGTTCCAACATGTAAGTTTGAATCCGAAGCAAAGGCAGATACAGTCTGAAACGATGCACAATTGCAAAATAGATCTCACCTCAAGGTCAGTGTGAGAGGCAAAGGCTGGAACCGAGTGTTTCTGCTTGAGTTGCAAAGGTGGACGGACGACTCTCCGGGTGACTCTTCGCGATGCAGGGGCAATCCCTTTAAAATGATGTTGTCCCCTCCCTCTGAGCCAACCAGCTGCCTACACAATCTGCATTCGGCATCGCAACGATACACCTCTTTTCTTATTGGTTCTCGAAAGGATTGATAACAATCTGTGACAACTCTCTTGGGTTCTTGTGTCTCTAGATATCTGAAAGTCCAAGGGTTTAGCTCTGGATGCAGTTTAACTTCCTACATCTGAGAATCATAGACTCCTAGAGCTGGAAGAGACCTGGTGGGCCATCCAATCCAACCCCATTCTGCCAAGAAGCAGGACACTTTTGCATTCAAAGCACCCCCGACAGATGGCCATCCAGCCTCTGTTTCAAAGCCTCCATAGAAGGAGCTTCCACCACACTCCAGGGCAGAGAGTTCCACTGCTGAACAGCTCTCATAGAATCAGAGAATCATAGAATCGTAGAATCATTGAGTTGGAAGAGATCTCATGGGCCATCCAGTCACAGAATCATAGAATCATAGAATCATAGTATCAAAGAGTTGGAAGAGACCTCATGGGCCATCCAGTCCAACCCCCTGCCAAGAAGCAGGAATATTGCATTCAAATCACCCCTGACAGATGGCCATCCAGCCTCTGTTTAAAAGCTTCCAAAGAAGG